AATTCTAAAATTCTTCCGGGAGAGACCTTTTTAAAAATGTCTTTTAGCATATTTTCTGAGTAAAACATTTTCTTTAAAAATTACAAATAAGTCATATATTCAGTATGTTATAAAATATTCTATTTTAAATATTCTTTTTTTAATTATGATCAAAGCCTAAGCGAATATGAATAACATTTTTAATATTTCTCACGTAATTAAAGAAAAATTACACATGTATTGAGGGGCCCAGGGCCTCTGAATGTCTGGTAGTGGCTCCCTGGGTCAGAAAAGATTGACAACTCCTTCTTTAACATAAATAACAGTCTATTTGACTGATATATCGCCTCTTTTAGCAGGAAAACATGGCAGGACAACAATGCACAGAAGTCAAAAGTCTGACACCTCGTGACAGTTCAGTTCAATCAATGCACAAAAAAGCGTGCATTTTAAAGCGGATCAATTGACTGTGACAGAGACAACACCTGAAAATAAACAAGCCAAATAAACCGTATAAATGCAGGCAAATAAATAAACCAGTATCAATCCATAAACAACAAGCCACTGCAACAAACAAACACAGTTATTTACCGTCTGCGGATGATGGAGGTGGGATGATATCGAGAACATATAACTGAAAGATATAACTGAATCGTTCCCAATTTATGCATGTATTTGTCAGGCAGTGTCTCAGCCAACAGCACTGCCCCTGCTCTCACCAGCCCCCTTTACTGCCCCCCGGAAGTCATGCTTAATACACGGGCATACACTTCCTACAAAAACACGTCACGTCACAGATGACTGCAGGGAATTGTAGTTCTGAGAGCCGCGAGCGCGCCTTCACTTTACAAGCGCAGGCGGCGTTGAGAAACTACAAATGATCATCGCTTATAAAACTGAAGAGTCTGATTCATTTCCGCAAATCGGTTCTTTCGAACAGTTCATTTTGGATGAAACATTCAAACAATCGATTCAGTGATTCATCATTCCGTATGATATATCCGCTCGGATCCATTCACTGCGATTCAGACAATTAATTAAAAAAAGATCCGGTTCAAACGAATGATTCATTGAGGAGTCGGACATCGGTATCGACAGCACGGGAAGGGGTGTTGTATTCAGGAGGTGCGTTTTAGCAAAACTGAGGTTATATCTGACATAAAGTCAGGTAATGTCATCTAATGTTGGCGCCAGTCCGGAATTTATGTGTTTATATATTCAATCGTTTGACTGTAAGAATGAACTCTCCATATTTCACCGATTCAGTAGCTGTATTAGGCACTTGTGCAACTGAAACTATGGGGAAAAGTGCTGTAAATAAAGGAGGAATTCGCAGATTGAGATCCAGAATGGCTCAAGGGCTTAAATCAGAAGATGATTCTCCAAACGTGAAAGCAGAAGATCACGAGCAGAGTATTTCAGATGCTCCACTGCAAACACATGCAGAAACTCCTGCAGGTTAGACGAACTGCTCAGGTGGAACTAAAAACTATTTTAAATCATATTTTTCTAAATATTTTATATAAATTCTAATCATTTTATATATTTTTTCTATAATTTAATTATGAATTAAATTATATATTTTTATATAATTAATGCATGTGTTTTAATATTATTTTAATAGTTTTTTTTTTTGTACAGAGACTGTGACAAATTGCAATAACACAACCACAAAAGTGAAAGAAGAAGCAGTGGATGAGCAAGCCGCTTTGACGTCACCTAGAAAACCAAGGCGGGGCCGTGTGAAGGTGGAGTATGAGGAGGAGGAAGGGGCGGAGCTAAAGAGGGAGCGCTGGGAGCCGCGTGATTGGAGAACACAGCTGTCATTCATCAGGGAGATGAGGAGCAAACGGGATGCGCCCGTGGACCAAATGGGAGCAGGGAAATGCTACGACACCGAGGCCCCGCCTGAGGTGAGCGAGAACCGATCGCAGATCACCTGAGGTAACCGACAGCCAATCAAAATTCTCGGTTCTTTTCTCAGGTGCGTCGTTACCAGGTGCTGATCTCCTTAATGCTGTCCAGTCAAACGAAAGATCACGTGACGGCTGGTGCTATGCAGAGATTACGTGAGCATGGGCTCAGTGTGGACGCCGTACTCGAGTTGGACGATGAGACTCTGGGTAAACTCATCTACCCCGTGGGCTTTTGGAAGGTAAATGACTCTTATGTGTTCAAATACATGTATGTATAATCAGAGCAATCAAAAACTCACAAACTTCTTCTCAGAAAAAGGTGAAGTACATCAAACAGGCCACGGCTCTGATCCAGCAGGAGTTCGGCGGAGACATTCCTGACACAGTGGAGGGTCTGATGCGTCTGCCGGGCGTTGGTCCCAAGATGGCCCACCTGGCCATGGACATCGCCTGGAACCAGGTGTCAGGAATCGGTAGGGCGGAAATTTATATTTTGGCTTAACACAGTGTCTGTCTGTTCTGAATCATATTGCTGCAACTTCTCTACCCAAGCAGACATACAGATTTCCCATAATGGTTGATGAAAAATCAAAGAACATTCTTGCAACCAGTTGGAACACCATTGCAACATCCTACATTCTTAAACATTTCAAAACTTCCTTTAAAGGGGTCGTATGATGCGATTTAAAGTTTTCCTTTCTCTTTGGAGTGTTACAAGCTGTTTGTGAATAGATAAGATCCCTAAAGTTGCAAAGACTAAAGTCTCAAACCCAAAGAGATATTCTTTATAAAAGTTAAGACTCGTCCACGCCCTCCTAAAACGCCTCGTTTAAACACGCCCCCACATGTCTACGTCACTGTATGGGAAGATTTGCATAACGCCGCCCAAATGTTCACGCAAAGAAAGAAGGCATAACTTTTATTCTTGCTGTAGTATTATTGCTGCCGCCTCCATGTCGTGGAGATGCTGTGTTTCGTTGTGAAAGCGAAAATATTTTGTTTGGTCTTCCAAAAGATAACACAACAAGAAATCAGTGGTTAAGTTGTATTTACAACACTGTTCCAGAACAGTTCAACCCAAATATTCAGATGTGTGTGGAAAATAATGTGTTTTTTTAACCTTAAACCGCATAAACACATTTCATTACACCAAATACACAAAATAATGTTTTTTTTAGCAACATCATATGACCACTTTAAGCTCCCCATCTCTGTTCACTTTCACACAAGGCTTTTTCAAGTCAAAGTTTCAAGTTTATCTTTATAATTTATGAGTTTTAGATACAGTATTTATATTCTTGTCTTTACCGTAAAGAAATAGTTCACCAAAAATGAACATTTGCTGTTAATTTACTTCCCTATCCAAGATGTAGGTGACTTTTTTTCTTGAGTAGAACTCAAGAAAACTCAGAACTCAGCTAAAGATTTTTAGCTGAAACTGTGGTCCTTGGTGATTCATAAAATGCAAGTCAGCGGCTGCCTGATTTTGAGAATTGAAAAAAGCATATCAAGGAACATGAAATTAATACCTGTGGCTCCTGACGATATATTGAGGTCTTATGAAGTGAAACGATCGGTCTGTGTGAGAAACTGAACATTATTTACAACATTATTACCTGTAATCAGACAATGGAGAAATCTGATTCTTTCGGACAGTTTGTTTCTGGTTCAAAAAACTGATTCACCAGTTTGTTTACATAATCACGCAATGATGTAACGTACATATAAAGCATAAAGCATATAAAGTGAATAAACTAGTCTTAATATACTCACCAAGTTATGAGAAACCATATAAACTATAATTTCACCCCTTCATTCAAGTGCTCAGTTCACTCATGCACATATCAGAAGCTCATCTTTGGTCCGACTCTGAGTCGAACTGTTTCCTCAGTTCAGTGACTGCTGGAGGAACTGGAGCCAGCGCTATATGATTCATTCATCATAGGATCAGATACGCCGCTATTTTGCCTCATTTCGAGTCCGAGTGACTGTCAGACGTCCGAAAGTGCGATTTGATTGAGTAACCTGTAGATCTGTGCTGCTCGAGTCACGAACTGTTTCAGACACTTCAGTCCAAAAGAACCGGTTCAAAAGAATGATTCGTGAACCGGACATCACCCCAGACCGTTTGCCTGAGGCTCTGGATTACAGGTAATAATTTTGTAAATGATGTTCAGTTTCTTCCACAGACTGATCATTTTGCTTCATAAGACCTCAATATATCTTCAGGAACCACCGATATGAATTTTGTGTTCCTTGATATGCTTTTTTATTCTCAAAAATGAGAATGGCCTGTGAGTGAGTAAATTAACAGCAAATTTTCATTTTTGGGTGAACTATCCCTTTAAGTGTTATTGTGTGCTCGTGTGTGTGTGTGTGTGTGTGTGTGTGTGTGTGTGTGTAGGCGTGGACACCCACGTTCACCGAATCTCAAACAGACTCGGATGGACCAAGAAGGGGACCAAGACGCCAGAGGAAACGCGGAGAGCTCTCGAGGAGTGGTTGCCACGGTAACCTCTATTTTCGGTCCTGTTGTTGCGAACGTTCATCTCTGCAAGATAGCATCACAACAATTTCGTTGAAGTACCATTTTTACCCGTCTTCTCTCTTCTCACAGAGATCTGTGGAGTGAGATCAACTGGTTGCTGGTTGGTTTCGGGCAGCAGGTGTGTTTGCCTGTTGCTCCGCTGTGCTCCGTATGTCTCAATCAGCACACCTGTCCCTTCGCCCACCGATCGTCTCCAAAGAAGCTCAAATCCAGCCCTGCAAAACCTGCCATTAACGGTCCCGATGACAAACTAGCATCTCCAACAGCACAGGTCAAAGAAGAGCCAGCGGATGCATCCCTGTCTCAGAGGAGCAAGAACACAGCCAAACAGGAAGTGCCAGGAAACCAGGTACAAGAACAGCTGACATCAGAAGAAGACGCTCCATCTGTCCTTAAAAAGAGAAGCAGGAGGAAAGGGAGAGCAGGAGCACAACAGAACACTTCACACCAGACACAAAGGACAGCAGAGACTTAGAATCAGTTTCAACAAAGTACTGTGTAAATGCAAAACAAATGTCACTTTAATTCGTTTTGTAGGTTTTATATCAAATAAATTGGAACTGAAATGGAAAACATAAAAGTGTTAGTGTTCGGTATTAGTTTTACATTAAATTACATTGTTCAGAACAGTATGCTATCATTTCTACATGTGTGAGTGTGCCCACAGTACAATACAGAATTGCATATTAGTGTACTACCTTAATATTTATGCATTATATTTATTGGACTTGTTTTTTTTTTAAGAAATTATGCTTACCAATGCTAAAATAACTTTTTTAAATTTAATATATCATAAAATGTAGTTTATTCCTGTGATCAAAGCTGAATTTTCAGCATTACTCCAGTCTTCAGTGTCACATGATCTTCAGAAATCATCCTAATATGCTGATTTGCTGCTCAATAAACATTTCTGATTATTATCAATGTTGAAAACTGTTGTGCTCCTTCATATTTTTTCTAGGCAGTATTCACGTCGAACTGTTTCCTCAGTTCAGTGACTGCTGGAGGAACTGGAGCCAGCGCTATATGATTCATTCATCATAGGATCAGATACGCCGCTATTTTGCCTCATTTCGAGTCCGAGTGACTGTCAGACGTCCGAAAGTGCGATTTGATTGAGTAACCTGTAGATCTGTGCTGCTCGAGTCACGAACTGTTTCAGACACTTCAGTCCAAAAGAACCGGTTCAAAAGAATGATTCGTGAACCGGACATCACCCCAGACCGTTTGCCTGAGGCTCTGGATTACAGGTAATAATTTTGTAAATGATGTTCAGTTTCTTCCACAGACTGATCATTTTGCTTCATAAGACCTCAATATATCTTCAGGAACCACCGATATGAATTTTGTGTTCCTTGATATGCTTTTTTATTCTCAAAAATGAGAATGGCCTGTGAGTGAGTAAATTAACAGCAAATTTTCATTTTTGGGTGAACTATCCCTTTAAGTGTTCCTTCATATTTTTTCTAGGCAGTATTCACTATATGAGGTTTCATTTTGAAAGCAGATGAAAACTTGATTTAATTCAAGCCTCAACTGTTGTCAACACCAGAGGGCAGAACTGCCAAAAAAAGTAAATACTTCACACATATACACATAAAATCCGTGTTTACTTACACACACACACACACACACACACACACACGCACACTTGTAAATATGAGAAAAGAACCAGATCCCAGTCTGATCAGATTACAGTACATTTAGCGTTATGCATTAATTGTACTCATTGTATCCTTACTGTTTTCTAGCTCAATGGTTTAATTGTTGTGTTTTAGTGTCCAGCAGATTTGCAGCTGAACGTGTGGGCGATCTGGCCTGTTTTAAATGCAGTGGCCCTTTTACACAGCAGTCGATCATCCCTGCTGCAGGTCAGCTACGTGTCTATTACTGAATCAGTGTGGGTTAGATGAGCTGATCCCAGATCTGTCCATAAAACACAGGTGAAGAGGAAGAGTTCCGCATGGATATCTGTGACTTATCCAACATCTGATCTCTCCAATCCTCTCTCTCTCACACACACACACACACACACACACACACTTCACAGTTCCTCCGGTCGGTCTCATCCTCTAACACCTGTTCTGTCTCGCACTCGCACACTGATGCGTTCCGTGCTCAGATATTGAACTCAAGAGCCACACTATTACTGATTTATCATATTAGTATACATTATAAGAAGAATGCGTGTCGTTTTAACAGTGTGAACGCTTGTGGGATGCGTGACTGACGGAAGCTGGGCTGGAGGAACGGCTACTGAACTTATTGGACTGTTATGAAGAGAGTCATTTAGTGGAAGACACGCTCGAGTAAAGAGCTATTTTTAACACGAATTGAAGTGAACGTTTTTGTAACATGCGGGATTTTTTACAACTAACGGAGGACACGGTTTTGCGCACGTAAGGCGTTTAGCGGATTAAAGCGTTTATTTGGGTTTTATTTAGCTTGTTTATTATAATTTTTTATTCTATCACATTTTTAATATTGAACTTGTAAAAAAAAAATATTTTCTATTACATTCCGTTTATTCTGTACTATTAAATAAATAAGAAACAACGCCTACAGACTCAGCATGTGGAATAATGCATCCGCCAAAACTTTACTCAAGCTTATAATATTATAGAGCAGGCTATATTTGTGTTGTGATTGCACACGGCTGCAGTTGGATATGGCGAACACTCTGGAGAGAGAGATTCTGGAGCGGGAGCTCCGTCCACGGCTGTGTTATGTGACTAAAGGAGATCGCGGGTACGGGTTTCATCTGCACGGCGAACGCAACCGAGGAGCGCAATACATCCGCAGGATCGAGCCGGGCTCCCCCGCGGACCTGTCCGGTCTCAGGTCCGGCGACCGGGTGGTGGAGGTGAACGGAGAGAACGTGGAGGGAGAGACGCATCAGCAGGTAACGAGAGAGGAGAACCTGTCGGACCACTTCACAGGGATGTGTCTCACAACCTAGTGAGCTGCCTACCTAGACAGCATTTTTGTGAATCATACTGATGAACGTTCCAAATGCGCCCGAAAGTTCCAAAAACGCGCGTGAGACCCACAGTGCTGTCTATATAGGGGTCTCACTATGTTTTGAGACACAGTCAGTGTGTTATATTCCACACTCAGGTAACAGCGCAATGGGTATTTGTTTAAGATTGGATCATTGTGTGTTGATGTTAAGAAAACACTGCAGTCTCGCCTCTGCGAAACCTACAAAACTTTCCCCTCCACCCTTACAAACACTTAGGCCTACCGTGGAAACCACTGTAAACCCATAATAAATAGATACGGGGCCTCTTAAAACGGTGCAATAAGTTTACTTTTTACTGTAGTGTCTAATGCCACCTTAATACATTTTTATATAAAAGTACTGTTGTGATAATAGCCTATATAAAATGTCAATACCATGCTGAATGACTTCATATTCATACCATGGATTTTATATGGCAAGGAGTGTCTAAAGGGAAGTGGTGATGGTATAAAAGGGAGGAAAAATTATAATTCAATGCCTTTGTGTTTCCCAGAGAAACTTTGCATTCAATATCAACACTTTTACATTTGCTCACAAAACTTTTGCATTCCCACAATGAACATTACGTTTAAACTCAAATCTTTTGCATTTTCTTCCAAGCTTTGTGTTCACTTGCAAAACTTTAGCATTCCCCCGATAAGCTTTGTGTTCGTACAGTAAACATTTTCGTTCCCCTGATAAACTTTGCGTACACATGCAAAACACTTGCATTCCCCCAATAAACTTTGTGTGCAAAATTTTTCCATTCCCCCAATAAACTTTTCTTTCACATGCAAAACTTTTGTTCAGAATTTGCATTTGTTTGCAAAACTTTTGTTTTCTTGCTAAACTTTTACGTTTCCACAACAAAATTTCCATTCGCTTGCAAAACTTTTTTTGCAAACAAATTTTCCATTCCGATAAACTTTGTTTGTTTGCAAACCGTAGCTTATATTGTACCATGTTCCAAAATCGCATGGTAATACTTTGTGGTATGTTTTAGGGAGTGTTACATTCTGTGTGTCTCTCAGGTTGTGCAGAGGATCCTGGAGGTGGAGCACCGCACCAGGCTGCTGGTGGTGGACCGGGTCACCGAAGAGTTCCTGAAGTTTCACGGTCTGCCATGTACGGAGGATAGGGCGATTGAGATGGGCTCTCTGTCCTCTCGCTCCTCAGCGGCGTCCTCTCCCCGCGCCTCCCCAAGAGACTCCGCCACTCCTCCCTACAGCAGACAGAGCTCAGAGGGCATTTTCATTAATAAGGTGAGAAGACCTCTCATGTGAGTGCTTGCATCTGTGTAGGTGAAACATCCCATCGCCATCAGACTGTAGTCTGTACATCAGAATGTAGTGCCCATACAGTCTCTATCTCTGTATAAGTACTTCCCTCATATTGGAGACTCCATGAGAGGAAGTCAAGGAGGAAGTCCAGCCCAGAGAGGAGCAGTGAGCTATATTTAGATCGCACTGTACAAAGAATAGGGTTGGGAATCCAGAATTCAGAAGAGTTACATTTTTAAAAAAATACCAGATTGACATTCACTGTGTTAATGGTTGTTGAATAACTGCATTATTCTGCTAAAATGATATGTGACCCTGGACCACAAAACCAGTCATAAGGATTAATTTTTTTAAATTGAATAAATAAGTTTTCCATTGATGTATGGTTTGTTAGGATAGGACAATATTTGGCCGAGATACAACTATTTGAAAATCTGGAATCTGAGGGTGTAAAAAAATCCAAATATTGAGAAAATCATCTTTAAAGTTGTCCAAATGAAGTTCTTAGCAATGCATATTACTAATCAAAAATTACGTTTTAATATATTTACAGTAGGAATTTTACAAAATATCTTCATGGAACATGATCTTTACTTAATATCCTAATGATTTTTGGCATAAAGGAAAAATCTATATTTTGCTCCATACAATGTATTTTTGGCTATTGCTACAAATATACCCCATTCTTCACAAGTACTAAGAGTCATTAATGGATTCAATTGAAAGCAGAATTGTCACATTTCTTACTTGATAGAGAATGGAGAGTTAAACTGTAACCTTTATTTGCTGATTATTAAACAGGATGCATTAATAATAGTCATTCAGTGTTTGTTGTAATTAAAATTAGCCATGCATTTGCTATTTTAGGGCCAAATTTTTGTGATATTATTTCATTTAAAGGGACAGTTCACCCAACAATGAAAATTCTGTCATCATTTACTCACCCGGTTTCTCACCATGTTGTTCCAAACCTGTATGATTTTTTCTTCTGTTGAACACAAAAGAAGATACTTTAAGGAATGTTGCAGTTACTGGTAGCCATGAACTTCCATTGTATTTTTATTCCATACTGTGGAAGTCAATGGCTACCAGCAACTGTCTTGATACCAACGTTCTTCAAAATATCTTAATTTGTGTTCAATAGAAGAAAGAAACTCGTACGGGTTTGGAACAACTTGAGGGTGAGTAAATTATGACAGAATTTTCGTTTTTAGGTGAACTATCCCTTTAAGACCTCTTATTAAAGCTAAGTATTCAGACTGGTGAATGATATTAATTTAATAACTAAATTAAATTCATTAAATTCAGTGTGCTCTGTTTTGTTAAAGTGAAGTTTATTCTTGATCAAAAAAAATAATATTCTTGATCGGCCTAATAAGCTCAAGAAGAGCTTGTATTTGTAATGTGCTTTTCACGGGAACACCAGGGTTTAACAAATAAAATTAAGTCTGCATACGGTCCAATCAATGGAAATGTGTCACTTGATAGAAGCTAGTCAAATTAGGCTTGTGAACATGGACAGGTTGTGTGACATTTTTGAAAACCAAAACTATGCAAAGCAGGGTTATTAAAATAAACTAACAAAATATTTACAAAAAGTATGTAGTTTATCGATGATACTAAAATGACACCACTGCAAAGAACATCATATGAACCAGACTAAATGTGGCTTCACACGCAACAAGAGTAACCTGACCACGGTGTGTTTCAATGTCAATGAACTGATTGCTAATAATGTTCATATTTTTGAGTTTATGCAAGTTATTGGATACATCTCAAAATATTGAATTTACACTGCTGTGAAATCAACCATGGCCAAGATTACAGTAAGACATGAAGGATAAATTTAATACACACACACACACACACACCTGCCCTCCATCAGGAGCTTCAGTCTGGCTTCATCTAGAGGTGTTTGACTGGAGCTGTCTAAGCTCTTTACTGACCTCGATGTGTCCAGTTCAGGTGAAGTGTGTTGACACATGCTTAGGTAGCAGACGGCTGCCGGATCAGCACACAGCAAGAGTCCTGTAAACAACATAATCCAGAGATGGTCAAATTGCAGTCATGTTATTGTTTGTTTTATTATTACCTGCAGACTAAACCAACGACTATCTAACAGTATTGGAGAGCAACTAAAAGTCTGGCTTTTTATTAGAAATTAACTTTTGGCCCGATTTACAGTCTGGACGAGTCAACAAGGTTTTGGCCAGTTGTAAAAAAAACACGTAGTGTATGAATGGTACAGACTCCGATTATTTAGCTTCCAACTTTGATGCCATTCAGCTGAAGGGTGTTAAACATGTTTGATATTTAAAACATATTGTTTTTATTTTGTCATGCATCCCCTAGCAACAAGGCGCTTGTTTCTGGTCAAGTTTGTTGCATGACTTAAAAGTCTGCTGGTGAGTGACGCTTCGTGCTTGGTTTATCTCTGTAAACATCTACAAAATCATCAGGTGTATTATGCCTATAATCTGTTCAGATTTGACAAGTAATGTATTCCAGCAACAGGCACCTCCCCCATCATGAGTGGACACGCCCCCTTACTGGTGATTGGCTACAAGTGTATTTTGGTGCTTGGTTCGATCCAAATTCAACAGTGTTTCTCAGAAATTGATTAGTGCACCTTTAAGCTTCTTTCTGTTCTGACTCTTAATTCTGATTGGATGAGCCACATTTGATGCATGTTAATTAGCCAAGTTGCTATGTTGCTTAGCAACCATGAACAGCCTGAAGTTTGGCTAATGAACTAAACTACTTGGTGGAAGAATTGTTGGTTCTTCTGTGGTATTACTGTATTTATGTAACTATTTTTATTATATTGCTGTTGTTGTCATTATATAAAAGCAAGAAGCCAGTTAAGGGAGTTTCAAAATCACTGTAACAGACAGCTTCTTGTGGTTTATTGATTTAATTTGATCTTATAGTTTTATTTAAATTTTTATGATTATTGCACCAGTGTAGTGAGTGATAACTTCTACCGAGGCCGAACAGAAGGCTAGTTTGACTGTGGTCTCACTTATTTCAATTATGAGTAGGTTGTTTCTTGGCAAACAACAGTTTCAAAGCAGCTTCCCCAAACACCGGCATGTGACCACAAACACAACACAAACAATAGTGACATTCACACGCTGGACCGCTGAAGCAGAAACACCGACCACAGACGTTCAGGTTCATTGTGGAGGATGAAATATTCAGCTGAATGTCTACTTTACTGTCTTCTCGTAGAGTCCCAGCAGCGCTGGAGGAGTAATGAATGGCTCTCCACTCTACAGAGCTCATGCCCGTCTGGCGTCACCCGTGTTTCTGCCTCTGTCGTCACCCGGTGAACACAAGACTGAACCGGAGCCCGAACCCTTCACCAAACTCACTGTGGAGTCCAGCATCACACCCGAGCCTGAACCGGTGCGTGACCTCAGCGTATCAGAGACCAGCACACAGGTGAGTTTCAGCAGCAGGGTCTTCATGATGGAGCTGATTATGTGGTGCGGATTGAAACTGAAGGACCTGCAAACCTGTAACTCATAAGTAACTCAATTAGTGTTAGTATTGGTACGTATTTGTACTTTAAAGTGCAGTTAGTTTGAATAGACTCTGATACATACAATATAATGTATAGACATTTTAAATAATGCTTTAACATATCTACGAGTTTAGAGATAGTACATTAATTCCCATGCAAAGAGGTCAGCCAATCATCACAGAGTTCTGCCTTAAAGGTACAGTACTAATATTTTTGAAAGAAGTCTCTACTGCTCAGGCTGCATTTATTTGATAATACAATAAAAACAGTAATATGTTGAAATTTTATTATAATTGAAAAGAACTGTTTTTCATTTGGCTATATTTGAATGTTTTCAGTGTCACATGATCTTCAGAAATCATTCTAATATGCTGATTTGCTGCTCAAGAAACATTTCTTATTATTATCAATGTTGAAAACAGTTGTGCTGCTTCATATTTTTGTGGAAATGTGATACATTTTATTTTCCAGGATTCTTTGATGAATATAAAGTTCAAAAGAACAGCATTTATTTGAAATAGAAATATTTAATAACATTATAAATGTCTTTACTGTCACTTTTAATCAATTTAATGCGCCCTTGCTGGAATAAAAGTATTATTTTTTTTTTTTTTTATTAATTATAAAAAAATAAAATAAAAAATATTTTATAAAATAAATAATATTTAATAACCAAAAATAAATAATATCTTACTGACCCCAAACTCTTGAATGGTAGTGTATATAGTAGGTAAACTATATTTGTAAGCCTTAAAGATACAGTAGCAAAATCAGCCTGTTTATCAGCCTTAATTACTTAAAAACTGTTTTTTTTGTTTTTTTGCAAAAGAAACCTTAACTTACATTATAGACTGGGAATTATGTGCTTCATTAACATGAAAAGGAGGTTAAAAAAAATAGCTTGTTAAAGCACGTTTTGCAGTGCAGGTGGACCTTACAAATCAAATGCTATAAAAAATATATCTGATCCCATTAAGTGAAACTACATTTGCATCTGTCCCTCTTCTTTCATTCGCTGTCCTCATCTTCTCTCTCTCTCTCTCTCTCTCTGTATGACCTTAATTCTCATTTACCTGCTTTTTGTTCCCACTCTCTGGTCCTGGGTGTCTGATTTCTGGGTATTTTCCCAGAATTCAGTGAGAGTGTTGTTTGTGTGTGTGTGTGCTGGTTTAGATTAAGCAGCGTCTCAGCCTCAGGAGCTAAAGCACATGTGTGTGTAAGGCGAGGTTCTTCAGTCACTCTACCCCATGGGACACAAACAGACACCACCCTTGTATTGTCTTAGAACAGGAAGTGACATGGTGTCTCACAGAATGTCCCTTATTCCTCCTGGGCGTGTTTCACTTCTTGAAGGAAATGAGCCAATGGTCACGCACACATGCTCACACTGTCCTTCTGCACGGCCCAGGGTCGTGCATATATCATATAATACAGCATATGATATCAGACAGGACCGTTTGTTCCTCTCTCTTTGGCCAGAAACTTTGAGCAAATGCAGACGTGAATGCCTGATAAAGGTCGTGCAGGAATGCAGTCTTGTTGAATGTGTATATTTGTTGGCCGCAACAAGTACTTAAGTGGGTGATAGTTTTCTTCAGCCATCTGTGTCATTAAACCAGATGTGTCATTATTAAAGCACTAATTGACCTGAATGAGAAAACTGACTGTAGAAGAAGAAAACATATTGTTAATATTGATGTCCTCTATGGCGCCCCTTGTGGCAACACTGAGAATGCAACACCTCAACATAGTTAAAAATAAAATATTTATAATATTAATGAAATGCAGTTTTGCATATTAATATTTTTACTTTGAGTATCAGAAAGTTGTTTATGCATTTTAATTTAAAAAAGGCTCATTTATTAATTTTAGTGAAATAAATTATTAAATGATAAATTAATGAAAATTTGAATTAATAAATTACTAAACCAATGTATAAATATTTTGTAATGCACTGGGAGACAGTTATACCAAAAATTATTTCTAATTAAAAAAAAATTGTTTTTGCTAGTGACTTCTTGTGTACACAACTGAAGGCAAATTAATTGTCAAAACTACTTATAAAAAATAACTACAGTTAAGTGAGATAAATGAACCTACAAATTCAAATGCTTACTAATTTTGTGTTAGAAGACAGTTTTACCATTAAATGTTTAAGATTAAGTAAAAAAACAACTTTTCAAGTGAATTGCTGTGAACTGAAGGCAAATTCATTTTCAAAATTAATTATAAAACATAAATGCAACTGTATATTTTAATGATAAATGAGTCTAAATGATTGCATAAAAAATATGTAATGGAAGATAGTTTTACCATTAAATATTTGTAACTAAATTAAAAAAATATATATAATTTTGCTACTGATAAGTTTTTACTTATAAAAACTAATTATAAAAATAACCACAACTGTTTGACATATAAAGTGTTTGTAATTGCATTAACTTAGTATTTGAATGGCTGTGCTGGTAATGCTTGTAATGTCAAACTTGTTTCTTATTATTAATTATTTGTTAATAAATACTAGCGCATCTGGACCTTTGACTAAATTGAATGAAGTCTGACCCATAATGCATCTAATTCTGGCCAAGAACTGCCCACTTAGACAGGAAGTGGATCATCTGACCAACATGTAGAACGATCAATTGCAATTTTTATGCAAACAAAAAATAAATATAAAAAAAATATGAATGGCGCAGCCACCTCTGTGGATTTTCATACAGAAAACACTAGATAAATTGAGAAAAATGTATCTGTAAAGACTGTTTGATGAGAATTTCTGTTTGTCTAAAGTAATAAATATGGATTATTTTATTGAGTAAATATACAGAATATATGCAGAATATGTTGCACATCGAGACAAAACCTGTAGCAAATACTTTCCCTGTATTATCTCACTCTGGAAATTAAAGAGATAGTTCACCCAAAAATGGTTTGTTTTAACCAAACAGTTGACTTCTGTAAGTCAATGGCTACCAGCAACTGTTTGGTTAACAACATTCTTCAAAATATCTTCTATTGTGTTTAATACAAGAAAGAAACTCATACAGGTTTCATGCAACTTGAGGGTGAGTAAATGATGACAGAATTTTATGGTGAACTATCCTTTTAAATTGACTCATTATCTAATGTTGAAGCTAAAAGAGTCCGTTTTCCTGTTTTGTTGACCTAAACGTCCTCTCAAGTTCATTACTGTTCTTGCGTTCCTTTTCTCTCTCCAGAAGGAGACGCTTTCGGAGGTGGATGTGGTAACGAAGGACCTGCGTCCGCGCTTGTGTCACATGACCATAGGAGAGCAGGGCTACGGCTTCAACCTGCACTGCAGAAAGTCCCACGTGGGTCAGTTCGTCCGCTCGGTGGACCCCGACTCTCCGGCGGAGCACGCGGGACTGAGGCCGAGAGACCGGCTCATCGAGGTGATCGGACGGGATTACACGAGACTCGATTAGCCCAGATTAGCAGCACTGGATTAGATTAAATTAGATTTCTGGAGAGAGGCAGATTACGTAAATGAAGAGAAACGCCTGGCTCATCCACTCCTTGATGGGAGGATCCTGTTTTAGAGCAGAGAGTGCTTGCTTGTGTGATGGCGTGATCGTCAGAGAGAGCAAATCCGTCCTAATGGATTTAATTTGTATCCGTTTTCTGTAATTATCACAGACGGATCAGTAATTATGACTGACAAACAGTGTTCAATTCACTGTCTCTGAATGCATTTGAATATCATTAGCAAAACACTTATTTATAGTCAAGTATTTAATTCAGGAATTAATATAGTTAAAGAGATAGTTCACCCAAAAATGAAAATTGAAAATCCTGTTATTAATTACTCACCCTCATCTCATCTTCAGAACTCAAATGAGGATATTTATGATTAAATCCGAGAGCATTTTCCCCCCGGTTGGGAGCAATGGAACTACCACATTCAAGTGCTTTTTTTTTTTTTTTTTAAGTAAAAAAAACATAATTTACCACTTTATTTATAAAAATATTAAGCAGCAAAAGTGCTTCTGTGAATGTGCTGGATATTTTTTCGTTGTTGAGTAAATATATAACACGTAAATTATTTTTTTTCTTGCAAACAAAGCATAAAGAGTTGCTTCATTAAATTGAGGTTAATCCACTGGAGTCACATGGAGTACTTTAAAGGGGTCATATGATGTTGCTAAAAAGAACATTATTTTGTGTATTTGGTGTAATGAAAAGTGTTTATGCGGTTTAAGGTTAAAAAAACACATTATTTTCCACATACTGTACATTATTGTTTCTCCTCTATGCCCCGCCTTTCTGAAACGCATCGATTTTTACAAAGCTCATCGGTCTGAAAAGCGAGGTGTGCTCTGATTGGCCAGCTATCCAGTGCGTTATGATTGGCCGAATACCTCAAGCGTGTGACGGAAATGTTACGCCCCTCACCATACTGTGATGCCGTGTCCGGCCGGAGCGAAGAGACAAAAGCATTAAAACCCATTATAAACGAGGCATTTGTTGCATCCAGTGGGGACATAATTACGAATTATAATGACTTATACTGTGTTTTTACGTGTTGCATTGCATATCGCGCCGCGTAAACATAAAACCATTTCTGCATTTGTGACTGGAGAAACAACAAACAACAAGCCTACTCTACACTGCTCAAAACTCGCGTTTGAATCGTCAGTGGCAAATCCTTTAAATATAAAAAAACGTACTTACAGTCTGTGAGTCAGAACAGCCGGCATTGTAGTCTACTCTACCAGGATCAGGAAACAGTCCTCCATAAAATGCGTTGCACACACACTCCAAAGAGAAAGGAAAAATTTAAATCGCATCATATGACCCCTTTAATGATGTTTTTCCTACCGTTCTGGATCTTTAATGTCCTAGTTCTGTTGCTCCCAATGGGGGGAGAAAATACTAAATAAATAATAATTTAATCATATATATTATCAGTCAATTAAAATAATACATTATTATTATTATTATTCACTATGATGATGATGATGATTCTACAGTATTATTATTATTATCATTATATGGATTTTAGATGTGGCACTTTATGAATACGATTCCTCAGAAGTGTAATGATGAAGTGGTTATGGCGCTCTGCATGTTTGTCCGCTTTATTAGAAAGTCAGTGACAAACCTTTTAATATTTCAGATAAAAACACACTTCCTCCTAGATGAACGTCAGGACGCCTCACAGACTTTCACATGCGTCTGTGAAAAAAAAATCTTTATTTATTCCTTCCCTTCCTAGCTTGTACTTATTTGAACAATACCTGGATCGCTTTATATATTCCCCAATTATAAGTCACTTTGGATAAAAGAGTCTGCAAAATGACTAAACGGCGTTACATCAGTTTGTGTTTCACTGCCTACAGGAACCTACACACCCCAAACTCTATTATCAGACAGACACAGCTGGAGAAACAGAGAAAAATGTCAGATGAAAGTTTGTTATGTAAGGCTTCTTCAAAGACAGGAAGAGGAAGAAGTTCCACAGAAAGCGGAAGTAGCGCGGCCTCACTCTCCACCTGCTGGACAAATACTGACCGACAATTATTATGTGTTGAGACAAAAGATTTATATACGTCATTTAATTTAACATTATAATATAGTAAATTATTATATTTAGTATATTATAATATAATAAATTTATATAATTAACACTATAATAAATAATGCAGTGTAATGTTATAATATATCACTATAAAATAAAAAAATTATGTAATAAATATAATA